GTCTGCCAAGCCATATTTATATATGCCGAGTCAAGCCGGCACTAAAATCATCAGGCCGAACCCCATGTGGTAGGCAGAAGGCACCAGACTGAGGAATGTATTGTGCACAGAATTCTAAGTTGTTGTCTCCGGAAGCAATGGCCACTGACAAAACTAGAGCTGTTGTTGGCTGTGTCCAGTGAGGTATGACGCAGAGGGAAACATCAGTAGCAGCTGCTCATAAATTATTTCTGAGCAAATTCAAGTGGTGCCCAATTGGTGTGCTACATTGTCCGAGGCGGTGTCCTGTATTTTGACCCATGCCGCGTCAGTGGGGTTGTGGGTTAGGCAGCCGTGGCTATCTAGACGCGCATGTTTGAGCGAGTTGAAATCATGTAGGAATCAACGCGTCTGAAGACGCTCACTGTGATAACGGATGACTTTAAACAAGGACGCCGTACGCAGCAATATTGTGCACTGGGCATTGAACGAGGAAGGGAGGAGGAGAGCATTGTTGGCTGACGCCACAGACCTTCATACTAGTGCACAGCGTCGTAATCGCCCGCCAAGCCATATTTGTGTCGAGTCAAGCCGATCATGTTTTTTCTTTGTCTATCCTCTTTGTCCAGACTTTCGGAGCCTGCCCTTCACACTCGGTCTCATGGGCACCGCACTCATCCTCTCGCCCCTTTTCTACTTCACCTGGTTGCGGACAGCCACCTCGAATGCAAACTTTTACTTTGCCGCTGCTCTTATACACAGTCTTGGGCGTGTAAGTGCATACTTATTTCCCGCTGCTTGTCCCCTCCTCCACCTCCCCCATTGTCCCATGTCTTAATCCCTTATTTTTTTAAACCAGCCAGAACTAATGGTAGTCATTATTCGGTTGGTAAAAATTGGCTCTCTTGATGGATGTGGACAGATATGCAGCAGGCAAGAACTATAAAAAGGCCTCCACAGCACCTCAAATCCTCTGAGAAGGGTATCTTTCGGTCTTAAAAAAAGTTCCCAAATTGCCGAATAATTTTGAAACCTACTGAATGCTACACTCGAATTCAAGGTTTACAACCTGCGCACTGTGTACATCCTGTTTAAGGAAGGGTACGTTTTCGCCTTAGGGTTTGGGGAAAAAGTCACATAGTCCTCATAAAATGTTGCAACAGATGTGGAGCATGCTTTATACAGTATAGACAGCATTAAGAAATTGACGTATACGATGTATTATGAATGAACACCTCACAGTCGTAAAAAAGCTCATAATTAGAAATGATTCTAAAACTGATGGATATCTTTTCTTAAAATGCAGAATTTAAAAAAGGCGTAATTTGCTACCAAACGAGTACAAGAAATAATATTTTTCGTACATGGTTTCCCTAAAATATATCTGAATTTATAGAGGCAGTCAAATCAATGATAAAAATGCATACTACTTAAGTAGTTACTTTTAACAGTACATACGTTTTGTTAGTGATCAGAAGGAAGCTCGTTAAAAACCCCGCATCCTATAATGACTGAAATAACTTCAGAATAGACTACACGATAATCAGTATCACAACCGGAGTCAATGCCGACCAGCGAAAGAGTATCAATCTTTCTCATATGTCGGCATGTTACACGAATTCTGGCGCATACTTTATGTACCAAAATGCAATGGGGTGTCTCAAATGCGAATGTATAAAGGCCAAATTTAAAAGGAGCCATGAGTTTGCATTAAGTATTTCTTCCTAATACTTCACTCATGCCATGTGCATTCTTTTTTCAGACCCAAATTCTTTCTCAGTTGACTGCCGGCTACATGCGGTTTCAATTCTACCAAAGGTACGGCAAAGAGCCCCGTCTTTCAAACGGTGTCAAACTGGTTCCAAAGATGCAGCTTTAAAACCGGTTTATAATCTGTTTTGCTTGTTTAAGCAATGCTTTGTGATATGGCGTGTGCTTTGTGTCGACGTTTCTGTTAGACTTTTACTACATTCTTTAATAAAGTGGTTTTTTTCTGAAAAGACCTACCACTGTGTGGGGTTTCAGCCGCCTACGCGACCCTCAGATAGGTCATCCATCGCGGTGGATGCTACTCAGCTTCACTGAAGTGGTAGTTTTATGAGTGGTATGGTTTCTGGTTTACGGATCGAAGAGGCCACTACGGCGCCTGAGCTATGGTGTGGATTACGGAGTGCGTATACTGCGCATCCACCCGGTTAGTCCTCCTCTATGGATGTGAATGCT